AAACATGTATAGAAAGGATTTATGTGCTTTCATTTTGTTGTATGTCATACCAGTGGCCTGGTGTAAACTGCATTGCATTTCACTGTTTTAATCAAAACAACAGAAGACAATTAAAATCATTAGTTTAATTTGGAGTGGTGGTAGCCATCTCCCAGCTATTTGCTTGACCTCCCCCAAACCCAGTGTAATGTATTTCTTTGGTAACGATGCTAAATCTAATTTTACTTTCAGAGTCATGGGCATGCCCTTATGCCCATGTCACGTTCCATTGATATTCATTTATGTGTGGTAACTAAGGCCACCATATTTCAAAAAGTGAACATCTGGACACAGAAGTTGCTGGAAGTTTTTGAGCTATTTTTAAGGAAATTTGCCAAAATCTACACTTGCGTCATGACACTTACATATGGCAACCCTAGTGGTGACCCTTCTGTCGTTGCTTTAATCTAGTAGTATCTTGGTGATGATGAAATTTCTAGGCAGCCCTGAGAATGTTTCCAGGTACACCAGAAAGATCTGTTGCCCCAGGACTATAAGAAGTACAGGCAGCTAGATGTTTTGGCAAATTATCCTCCCGTGCATTGCCACAGAGGAAACCAGAAGTGGGAAATGGGACAAAATCTCTGCAGAGGAACATGCCACAGATATTTTGAAGCATAAGTTCCATCACACTAGGCTGAAACATAAATATTGCAGCATTATATAAATGTCAGGTTTATATCATGACTGGCTGGCAACCATATACAGTAAATAGGATGTCAGAAAACCCCCCAGTATGTTTCTCTGATTGTTCAGGTGGGAGTTGAGGAACTTGTGAAAATTATTGGGAGGAAAATAATTGACGGTGCCTTGGGCCAGTCCTTCCATTTGCAAGAAGGAAAGTTTAAAAGCTGCATTTGAGTGACAGCTGCGCACATACAGGCTCCTCTTGTTTGCTTGCACACTTGCTGCTCCTACTCACTGCCTTATAAAGTGTATTGGCACCTCGGGTATGAAATGCATTATATAAAGCTCAATTCAGTTTCATATGCTCTACATTGAATGCCATCCAGTTATGAAACACAATGCAGTTCCTCCCAGCTTAGAGCTCCAACCAATAAATCTTCCATAGCTGGAAGGCTTTTGTCCTCTGACTCTCAAACTCCCCCAAAGTTGCATTTAGAGGCATTTCCTTTCTGACACGCAGCCTGCCTGATATTGACAGAAAACATCAAACTAAGCTGCCACAAGAAATGGGTATTGATGGAGTGCTGCTGGGATAACTCCCAAGAGAAATGACTAGCAGCTTAAGCCTGCGGCTCTCAAGTATGCAGAGGTGGAAATCATGAATCTAAACTCCTGGGAATGGCAATGAAAAAGCCAACTTACGGACTGCTATGCTGTAATTTATATAGCTCTATAGGGAGTATAGGGCATAACAGTAGTGATACACGCCACCTCAGTTTCCACGAGCAGTGCGAGATTCCAGGGGCTTCAAGCGCTTACCCAGGGTTTGTGCTTTCTTTTGAGAATAAGGCACAGCGGAGACCAGTGGCGTAGCGTGGGTTGTCAGCACCCGGGGCAAGGCAAGTAATTTGCGCCCCCTAACCCGTGGATTTGCACCCCCTAACCCGTGGATTTGCGCCCCCTAACCTGTGAATTTGCCCTAACCCCAGATGTTGCGCCCAGTGCGGCCGGCCCCCCCTGCACCCCCCACGCTACGCCACTGGCAGAGACTATGTAGCAGTCGAGGTCCCAGTGCAGATCTTTATTCCCCCCTTGTTCCTGATGTAGATCTTCACTCATCTTTTTTCTCTGGAGGGGAGGGGGATGCCATTTTGTGGTTCACCTCAAGTGCCAAAATGTATTGGACCTGGCCAGATTCCCAGCACTCTTAACAGACCACAATACCCAGGATTCTTTGGATGGGATGTGTTTAAATGTACAGTCGTACCTTGGTTCTCGAAAGGAATCTGTTCTGGAAGTCCGTTCGACTTCCGAAAACGTTCAAAAACCAAGGCGCGGCTTCCAATTCGCTGCAGGAGCTTCCTGCACTGAATCAGAATCCGCGGAAGCAGTGTCGGGCGTTCAGGTTTCAAAGAACGTTTGCAAACCAGATCACTCACTTCTGGGTTTGCGGTGTTCGGGAGCCAAAACGTACAAGTACCAAAGAGTTCGACAACCAAGGTACCAATGTAATTTAAATGTATTGCACGCATACAGTGCAAAAGGAATTAAGCCTACAGTCCTCTCTAAACATTCCAAAAGAAGAAAAAAGTTTCACCAAATGCTAATAATAAGTATCGTAATATGCAGCATTTGTAAAGCACTTCCAAGTGTTGAAAGAGCACCACGTGCCTTATCATGTTGTAACCTTCACGACAACAACGTAAGGTGAAGGAGTGTTATTATCCCCATATAGCAGGTAGGGTACACTCAAGCTTAGAGAGAATGCCTTGCTAAGGCCACCAAGAAACAGCTGAATGGGCAGCTTCCTGATTCATAGCACAAAAGGAATAAAAGTCACAAGACTGTTGAATAGTGAGTGGATTGAGGAGTGAAACAGCTGTTTTGGTAGCCGAGCAAGTGGAGAGTCACGGAATTCAGTGCTGACAAATACATACTTGTGCTATTCCCTGAAAACAATCAAGTTAATGTTATAGAGTTTTCTGTTAATTTTTCTGATCCAGGTAGAGTGATATGTGTGAAGTGGAAGCCACTGGAATGCTATACTTGATTTTAAACAGAAATGGCATTGGATTCCATTTGGAGGTGGGGGGGGCGGGTACTTCGTGACCCATACCTCCATTGGCTTTGTCCTGCCCTTGTATGCTACCAAGACAAAATAGGCCCATTGTACTGGGAACCCATCAGCCTTGAATGCTTTGCGTGGAAACTGTGTATATAACCACAAATGCTTTGTGCAAAATCTTTCATTTGCCTTTTCAGAAGCATGAGCTTTTGAAGCGGGACAGGGTGGATTCTGCAACATAACAGGAATGCAATAATAATACACTAGTGGGGGACATATACTGGACCAACCACACATAATTCTGCTTTATTGGTTGTTGCAATGCTTCCTCAATTTTGTCATCTAAGAAAAGCACTCTCACGCCGCTATAACACAACAAAAGCAGGACGCACACCTCAAAAAACAACAACCCTGAAACATTTCTGGTATGAAAAATTACAGGATTTTAGCAGGAAGTTATGAGACATGCACTGGTTGGAAATGAAGCATTATGTCTGCCCTGAAACTTTTGCAAATGCAAACAGTGTTGAAAGTGAGATCTCGTATAAATGCCCCAATACCATCATGAGCATAAATAATCATAAATGCACAATAAAAATGACACCTGGGCATGCCCACAGTCTCTCTGCTCAAACCCATTCACAAGGATAAAAGGGAAAACCCAGCAATATAAACCATTGGATGTTTATTTCTCTATCCTGCTTTTGATATGTGTTTGTCAAGTGTCAATCCTGGATAGACTGAGCAACCTATTGACCTGAATGCCCAAGCCATTGAATTTGGAGATTTCTTTCTAATATTACTGTGCCTTTCATCTCCACTCAGTTTGTTGAGAAAGAGAGATTTTTTATGTTAGAAATGTAAAATATACAGCCATCCCAAGAAAACAGGTATGAGATTAGTTAGAAATGATATCACTCCATCATCCTGGTTTTCTGTTGTTGTTGTTAATTCCCCCCCCCCATTCATCTCTTCATATTGGCCTATGTCGCCAACTAGTCCTGTAACCAAATGCATGTACTCTGTGCTTCTGAAACTCAATCCAGAAAATCCAGGAAAATGCATGATTTGGGGAGGATGAAAGTCATACGCAAAGTAAATTCTTAGAAATAACATCTGGAACCAACAATGGTGAGGTCCAAATGCAGAGCGTTTCCACTGAACGCCTGGAGCTCACATTGGTGAGAAATAGTTCCACACATTTGCATGGTTCCTGATCAAAGATGGCATATTTTGATGTTGAGAACACAAATTCACATAATTATGTCAAAAACTATGTGAGAGGAAGCTCTGTGTAACAGACTGTCATGGCTTTGTTGGTACAGGTTGATGGGGCTTTAAGATCAAAAAAGGCCACTGTAGGCTTGCTAACCTTGCTTCATAACACAGACTGATAATGTTCCTTTGGTAATTATCACTTTGTCAAGCCCACTCATTTTTCCCCCTGAAGAGAGCTAGAGAGAGTAGTAAATGCAAATTAAAAGGAAAGGCAGAACAAAGGGAGAGTTTATTAGGGTTTCCATTTTCCTTACTATCCATTGATGTAAAACAAGCTTCAACAGAAGAAAAATAAAATAAAATCTATAACATACGGCTTTTTAAACCTTTGATCAAGCAATGATATTAGCACTATTCAAGGAAGTAATATTCCTCTTTTTGCCTATGCATACATTCTGCTCCTGACATGTATAGTTATTATAAGGAACACTTCACAAAATCACCTTAAGCAGGAGCAGACACCTGTGATAGGCTTATTATCCCCTGGCTTGCCTCTCATTCGTTCATTGACTGGAGATACGAGAGAAAGCTCTATAGTCTACAGCCGTTTTGCAAGTAAACAAGCAATAACTGTGGTTACCAAATGAAAACGATTCCTCAGCATTAACTCAATGCTAAACAGCCAAAGGTAGGTGCAGTACACTATGATATGAGTAGTTCTGGCATATTTGAGAATGAGACCATTTCTGTCTACCTGAACTCCAGTTTAGATTAGATGATTTGGAATGGGTTCTATAATCAGCATATGTACAAAGACACCTAAGACACGGCTAAGGACGTCCCTGGCCACCCTTGGCCTCCAGCACATGCCCAAAGGTCTCAGTGCATTAGAAGTCTCAGTTATATCATGCACCCTCAATGAATTGGAGAACTGTTGGAACAGGCACAGACCTGAAATAGTAGTGGGCGGCAACTCCTCAACTTGTTACAAGAGCATCTAATATTTCCAATAGGAGCCAGTCCGTCTGGTCTAGCTAGGGTGGCCACTTACCTATCACTAAAAAAGAGGAAATGCATCACCAAAACAGAAGAGACAGATTTGCATGAAATTTGCATGTGCTAATATATACACATTTTTCACGTAATATACCACCAGATACAGTGGTGGCGGTGGCGGCGGCAGCAGATTACCAGAGGGGTTGGCCACTGGCCACCTTCCTCCTTCCTGCACTGCTGCTCCTGACAACCCAACTTGTCATCCTTAACGGTGGTGGCAGAAGCAGCAGAGCCCCAAGTGGGCTGAGGAGGACGAAGCTGGCCAGCAGCGGTGCCAGTTAGTCTACAGGTGTGGATCCTGGAGGCAGGGGCCCCAGGAGTGGCAGGCGAAGGAGCCTGTGGATTGGGGCGGGGGGCGGGAGCTGCTGCAGCCTGTTCTGGCTGTCCCTCCATGACTCATCTCAGCTGCCCATCCACCGCCTTTCATCATACTGTGATTCACAGTGCCACCTTTCTGTGGCTAAGCAAACTGCAGCATGACAGCACTCTTACATTTTTATTATATAAAATACAAATTTAGAAATAGGTGCTACAGTTCAAATAGAAATACAATACATCCAGTTGGGAAGACTGACCAGGTGACCTGTGTGTCTGCTAAAACTACTGTCCAGCTGCCAACTGTTGATGAACAACTTTCAGGCCCCTGCTGCTTCCCCTTCTTATGGCTCCTTATCTTTAGACTGGACTTGTCTGTACACCTTACAAACAGAGGGCTCCTTCAAATAGAGTACTGTGAGAGTGGGTGTTCAGTTAGAATACAGTCTTCTGCAAATCAGAGTGCCAAAATTGAAATTTGGGGATCTAATTCCATATGGACTTATTTGGGGTATTGGTCCATCTTGCCCAGCATATTCTCTGACAAGCAGTGGCTCCAACAGCCTCAATAAGCCGTCTTTCCCAGTCCTGCAACATGAGATCCTTCCCACCAGAGATGCAGGAAACCGAACACGGGGCTTTCTGAGCACAGAGCGTGTCCTCTAACCATTGAACTACGAGCCCCACCACCTGGGTGCAAATGGCATTTCCTTTTCCCAGTTATCCTTCAGAGTAACCTATTGTACTCCTACAGGTAAAAACTACGACGAGCATGCTTTCTTCAACTTGCACTAAGCATACAAGGCATTGTTTGCACCACTGTTAACTCAGAGTCTCAAATTATGCTTCTTTTACAGGTACAGGGCCCCCAGGTTGTCTCTGCCCTCTGAAGCAAACTCTGCAACTCTTACAGCTGACCTGCCTTCCCTCCACACCCTCTGGTGATCTCTGTCACAGAAACCCCAGAGACCCGGCCTCAGACGGTTTGTCACCCAGCTTCCTCTGACTTCCTCAGTTGCCTTTTGCAGTTCATTGCACACAATCTGGTTCCCTCTCTTTGGCTCCTCTGTCACCTAATTGGCTGGCTGCTGTCCCCGGACTACGCTCTGTGACACAGCTTAAGCCCAGGGCACTGCATCTTTGGCCGAGGAATCTCTTGCAGAAGGATGTTTAGCAATAGTTCTCTCCCTGCTTTTCTTCCCCCTAAAGACTGAGGGAAATCTGCTCCATTGCTGCTGAACACTTGCCTGTGCAGAGGTTTATAACCACCGCATTAATTAATCTGTTATGACCTTTTTAAAATATGAGGTTAATGCTGATTGACTGTGTCTTTTCTAGAGTCAATGCCACACCACTTTAATAGGTTTAAAAGGAAGGTGGTATTTTGAATCCCCTTGACAGCAGGCATGTTTGGGGGAATACATATTAATTAACTGACTAAATAAGTCCTTCCAGATTCCCTCTCTCTGCATGGGGAGTGCAAGGAGCCTGCAGGACGCACAGCCCGTCCCTCTTCTCCAGGTCAGCACAGAGAGGTAAATGGAGAGGCTTATGACGCTCCCTTACACTGGGCCTTGTTTGGACAAAGCCTTAATGAGCTTTGTTGTTATTTTTATATTTATTACCTACCCTTCACTAGCAGGTCCTGTGGGTGGTTATAAAAATTTAAAATTCCTATATTAAAAACATCTCAGGTGCCAAAGGCAAGGGCAAAAAAGTATACACGCAACTCCCGGTTTGCATACATTCAAAGATTGCATCGCTGCAACCCAGAAATAGACAGAAAAGGGGGTGTCACAGGGTTGGGGGCAGGCTTACATGCCAATGTGGGGGGGGCGGTTTCAGGAATGCAACCCCTGTGCAAAATGCTTGTTGCCTGTATATTAATGAGCTTCATGCATCCATGTCAAACTGCTTTGAGGCCTCCTTTTATCTGAATGAGCAAAGAAGCCACATTTAACCCTAGCTTCCAGTCAGATCTGAACCAGAAAACTATGGTTAATAGCATCCAAACAAGCCAGAATATGAAGCTAGTTTCCAGATCTTGGTTTGTTTGGAAGCCATTAACCATAATTCTAATTCAGATGTAATGGGAAACTACGGTTGAATGTGACTTCCTGGGTTCTTTGCCCACTCAGACAAAAGGAGAAACAAAGGGGCTATGCGCAGGTGCAGAGACATAATATTTTGAGTGTGGCTGCTGAATCAGCCTATCGATCAATATTATTCTATTACTCTGACTGGCAGGGGTCTTTCTCAACATGAGTTTGAACCTCAGACCTCCTGCATGCAAAGTATGATTGACAGATACAGAAACTGTGGTGGCAACTTCCTTCAAGTCCCATTAGGAAGCATGAGGGAAAACATCATGCTATGCAAATTTATGAGTCCTGTCCTGGGGATTGAATTAGGAAGGGCATGAGGGTGAGCCACCAGCAAGCATTTAGAGCTTGACCATTCAAAGGGTGGGTTTGAAGACAGGAGCTCTGACTGGCCCTTGAGCATGGCTTTTCTACTGGGAGGCAGGCAGATCAGGACATTAACCATCACCAAGGCTGAGATGGTTGACATTCTCCAAAGCCTCTGCTTACTGACACCCATCCAAGTGGTGATTTCAGCATGTAATGCTACTCTGATGCGGCTTGTCTGTATGTTTGCTGTTTTATAAGACAATGTGCTCTTCAAAAATGCCTGGAGGAAAGATGACTTGCTTCTTGTGAGTGTTTTCATACACAAAACCTAAAGCAGCTCTTAAAGCAGGCTTTATGATTATGAATGCAAAACTTATATTCACCAGAATGCCTATTTGCATTGCAAATGCTGTCCCTCTGCTCTCTCTGCCACTTAGCAACAATAGCGAGACAGAGGCTCAAAAGTGATGTGCGAAAACACTCTTGATTTTACCTAGTTTAAAAGTAATTGGAGAAACCAATAAAAGTTGGATTTTAGCTACAAGAAGCAAGAAGGGCTATTGATTGTAAAATTTTAGAGTTGTTTCACCACAGTAATAGAATCAATAGCTTTGCAAAGTTCCTGTAATTCAGAAACCCTGAACTGATTGTTATAACTGAAGAAAGAATCTCTTTGGGAACTGGGTGCTGGCTGCTCTTTCTTGTGTCTGTCTCTTGTGTTGACAGCACAAAATCCCAAACCTCAAAAGCTTTAAAGGGGCAGTGTGGCCACTAGTTACTGTGCACAGGCCAAAGCTATGAGTTTAAACCTAGCCTCAGAACAAGAAACTATCTGAGCCTCAGTTCTCCATCCATAGAATGGGAAAAGCAACCACCTAGTTGTGGGAAGGCTGGAAAACCAGCCACGTAGCATTCTTTGCAGTTCAAATATTAGATCAAGGATTGTAAGGGATAGTAACCATATATATCGCTCTAGCAGTTCAAGAAGGCCATTCCCTCTGTCCTATTCTCATTCCATTTCTCCTCTTCACTGTGTGTCAGTTTCAAGGAGGTGGGAACGTACAATATCCAAAGGTGGGGTTTTTGCTTTAAATGCTGTCCTGTGGGCTGGGCCTAAGGGACTGAAAGAAGGGTGCAAAGGGGTTGTTGGAGATGGAGCAGCAGTGTTGATGTTTAGTATGGCTTTCAGTCACATGCAGGGTTTTGCATGTGACCACTCTAGTTCTACAGCTGGGCGGGGGGGGGGGGATTACCTTCCTAGTTGCCAGCTGATCCTACACTAAACGGATGGATGAATGGGTAAAAGTAATGGTTCTAGCATGTATGAAGATGTGTGCCTAGACTTGCTCCTTTAAACATGTGCTTGTAGCAATTGTCACCACATCAGTTCCCAAAGCATGTAAAAATATATAGGCTACTATAAGTGCCGTTCACTGCAGCACACAGGTCTGAGGAATCCCTTTCCAACATGTAGTAAGATCAGGCAGCACCTACCACGAGCTGAGAGCTTCTTGGTGTTTATGATCTTGGCAGCATATTCTTGTCCTGACAACACCTTCACACACCTCCTGACAATTGAGAAAGCACCTCTGTTGGAGAGAAGAAGAGAAGAGAGGGAGAAACCCCCAATACATGAGATGTTTGCCGAATAAAGTCATGTACCCCACATGCCTACATGTTTAAAAGTGGGAATGTTCAAAAGAAGAGCCAGGCTGGTGGAGGCAAAAGGCCCGTGCACAGTCTAGCATCCTGTTTCCCACAGTGGTCCTCTGGAAAGCCCACAAGCAAGACAAAAAGGTAACAGATGTGTCCTCTGATCCTGGAGGTAGTATAAAGCCATCATGATCAGTAGTCATTGATGCTCCTTTTTTATTAACGGCACATCAAAACCTAGAGCAGAGGTTTTCAAGCTTTTTGGGTCCACGGCTCCCTTGACCAACTACATTCTTTCTGTGGTACCCTTGTGGGGCTCAGGAGCCCAGTTAGGTCACCCCTTGTCTGCAGAGCTGGCAGCCCCTCACTCCTTTTTGCACACCTTCCCTTGTGGGGAAGCCTCCTCTTTTCTCCCCTCTCCTTGCAGCAGCTGCTGCCCCTGGTCTCTGAGCTGCACCCCACCCTGCCCCAAAGAGAGGTGCCTCCTCCCACTACCCCACTGGGGCCTGAGAAGCACCCCCTGGCCGGCTGGAAGCACCATTCGCCCTGGGAGCTTGTAGCCAGGGCTACTACAACAAACAGCTGTGCAAGCCTTTGGGAGGCAGAGATGTGAGAGGGCATCAGAGGAGGGAGGGGAGGGAAGAGGGACAGATGCCAAGGTTGCCTGCAGCACCCCAACCATTATTCAAGGCACCCCAGCACACTGTTCTAGAGAATGGTCAGGTGTTTAGAAGGTAAGTTGCAGCAGTTCATCCTTTCCTTATGATAACCCCTAATCTTAACCCCTACCCCCTCCAATCCCCTTCACCAAAACACTCTTCCCTTTTCTCTGGTCCCCACTTTCTCCCTCTTTGCCACAGCTGCCAAATCTTAGCTCTGCCTCTATCTTAAACACATTGCCAACCCCAAATGAGTGCCATTTCCTATCTCTTTGACACATTCTGAATGTGACAGGGGGGAAAATGGGAAGAACTGGCTGTTTTACATATGTATCACATTAGTTTCATGACATTCATAGAATCATAGAATTGTAGAGCCCTCTGCAACCCTCTTTTGCCCAAGGTGGGGTTCAAACCCACAACCATGAAATTAAGAGTCTTATGCTCTACCAGCTGAGCTATCCCAAGCAGATTCCTACAGCAACCCTGTAGGGTAGTTTAGGGCAAAAATGAATGGCTTGCTCAAGGCCACCCATTCAACTTCACGGCTGTGTGGGGGATTTGATTTTGGGTTCCTCACATTCTGGCTCAATACTCTAAGGCTGACGTGGAAATTGCTAACTAGCTTGAGTAGAAACACTGGGGTGAGGTAAGGGGTGGGGATTTTCCTAACAGAGAGGTTCAATGTGTATTAGATCCACTTAGGGAAACTTTCCCATTCAAATGGCATTTGAAAGAAAAATCAGCAATGTGGATGTAATAAAGAAAAAAAAATCCCCGTTATAAAAAGTGACAAATTGTCTCCTTCATTCAAGCATTTGGCATGTTTCGCCTTCCAATTTTTCACATTGTCTTCTCCCCCCTCCCCCTGAATAGTGACTTTTTCCACTGGTGGAAAGCATTAAGCACCTTCTGTCTTATCAAATGTCTCTTGGTACAAATGGCAGTCAGTGCCTGCCAATAATAATGCATTTTAATGAAGGAAAGATTGACACCAATGCAGTTTTTGTGCAAAAGACCCAACTTGAATCTGATGTTGCTGAAATTTTAAAACATGACCTGGTGGCAAAGATTATAGTGACAGCAGCTACAAGGGCTAAAATATTCTCATGTTAAAGAAATAGAAACTTGCATTCTGCAGTCTATATAAATTGTGCCAGGTTAAGAAAATTTGAATAGTCTTGCTTATTTCATATAATTTGTTTTGTGCCTGTCAGTCAAGCAGGCCTGGCTGATATATTTTTCTGTCAGAGGCAAAGATGGTGGTGTCCTCCACTCCATGTATGAAATCCAATTGGGCTGACAGCTGAATCCTACTTCAGCACTGGGGATTAGGCAACATCCTCCTCTGTACCTGGGGACAGATATCTAGTTTAAGGTGTGCAAGGAAGGCTTGTCTAGGGGACTTGTGGAGTGGGGGTGGCATATTTCTGTAATTCCCAAATTTGTGGATATTGGGGGTTTGTACTACCTTCTGGCTTAAAACACACGCAAGTTCAAGCTTTGGAAATAAAACTTGTACCCCACACCATAACCCTAACCACAGGTATACAAAACTTGCTTTACTTTTTGCATCCCTTTGGGATCCTAATTGTTGTGACAACTTCAGTGCACCACAGTCTTTTATGGGACTGGTCGTTTTCATTTATTAGGCTAGTACATCCACAGTGGCTGGAGAAGGAATGCTCCATAGAGAAGCAAGAGCGGGTTAAAGGCAGAGCCCTTTGAGCTCTGCTAAGAAGATGATGATTTGTGATGCCACCAGGCTTCCCACAAGTGAAACTGTATTATGAAACATGCTTCCTACAGGATGCTTCCACACCAGGCATGCAGTTCATATCCTGGTGGATTTGTAGATGCCAAGACTTCATTAAAGCAGAGGTGAAGAAGACTGAAGGTGCGTGTCCTTTTCTCCTCTTCATGGGCAGCTACTTTTCAACCAGAAAGCAAAGCTTTGACTTTTTCAACCTTGACCTGACCAGTGCCATCTACCTACAGGGAGAAGTGGCCTGCTAGTTTCTAAAACAGCTTGGCTTCTGTTAATCTGAGCCTCCTCTGCAGAAATAGAAGAATCACCTTACCGAGTAGAGTTAACTACCTCTTGCTAATACTTAGTAGAGGCAAAGGAGGAAATGAGACATGCTGTGAAGGTACGCTTATATTCATTGCCTGGGAAATAAGATTTGCAGCGGGAATCTTGTCATTTCTTGGCTCTGTGGTGCTAAAATTGAATGGTAAGGTGTTTCCGGATGTGAGGTTTAAACTGGCGCTTGCATTTCCCACACAAATATCACTCCTGGAAAACCCTACAGCGACCTGTGGGTAAATTCACTCTATTCCTCTTTATACTTTGCATTAACAATATTCACATGTGCACAAATGGTATGGGAGAGGCCCACAGAGACAGGTGTGAGAATGCTCTTAAGGGAAAGAAGACTTTGTGCCTAATTAGATACTTAGCCCTTCTTGTTTTTTATTATGCCTTTCACCACTTATAATAAACAACTTGTTTCAGGCCCTAGCCACTCAGGTGGCAGATATGACATTGCGTTGGATCCTTAGTTTAATTGGATGGGGGGGTGTTTCCCCCCTCCCCCCCGGGATCAGCATATCCCCTTAAGGTGATTCTGGGGAGATGCTTCTGTCTGGATACCCAGACAGGGGCTGATGGGCCACAGCACCCCCAAATAGTGATCTTGGAGGGGTCGCCCTGATTTGATGTATGTTATAGGGTGATGCTTAACTTTGGTTAACTTTGTCAAAAATCAACCAGCAGTCAGGCTGGTTAAGTCAAGATACACACCCAATGCCTAGGCCAAAAACTGCTGACACCTGTAGTCAATAAAGTTGTGGCCTGTTTAAATCCCATTTTGGTTGTCCTGTGCTTATTGCCTCTACATCTTTCCTTGGCCCCACTGCCTGCAGCTCCACTGCACCTGGGCCTGCAAACCAGATTCCTGATGAATCTCAAGGAGCTCAGAACTGAAGCTATACTTTATGCTTGACTGAGGGAAACTGAGGCATGGCTCATACCAGCCAAGGGCATAAAGTAAGCAGTGCTGGGACTAAAACCTGCCTGAGGGCCACAACCGCTGCCTTGCAAGCCCTTCTCCCTAAGCTGAGGTGGCTAGATGTTAGTGCTGTGAAAATGCACCCTTTGCAGAATAAACAAAAACAAAAACCACTCATGGGTCCAGCAACTGATAATGGTGTCACAGAATGAGCCTTGGTGATCCCTGGCTTAGATTAAGCAGTGATGGTACCACAAGAGTATCCTACTTGCCATTCACAATGTCTAGGGATCTGCATCCAGGGGGCAATGGAAGGTGGAAGTTGGGGGGTGTTCACAGTGCCACTTACTACACTTCCATTGCGCTCCCATGGCTGATTTTTGAAGCCACATCCACACAATCTGTATTGAACCTGTAGTTTGTTGACGAACACTGTTGTCTGATGTGTCCCCCCCCCATCTCAAACCAGGTTCAATCCAATTAAAAAAGTGAATGTGGAGTAAGCGGTAATGTGAAATTACCCTAACAGTTGCTGCACTGGCCCAGATGAGCGCAGGCGACAGCTTAATGAACGGCAGAGCTGGAGGGGTGGGGGAACTTAAAAGGTTTGTCTCTTACACAAACAACTCTGTGCAAATGTGGCTTGAAATGCAGTGCAGGGTGCAGGAATGACCTCACTGTGTTTCATGTGGGGGTCTCTCAAGTGGGGCCTTTATGATGCAGAGGTCTCATTCTTCACTCTGGGGGCTGGAGACAGAAATAACTGAAATGGGAGGAGTAAGTCGCTTTTTTAGACATCGTACGCAGTAGGTATAAATCATGGGTCCCCTATTTGAAATACCCCAAGTGTGATGTCTGTGCGTCTTGTCTCCCTAATAGGCCCACATATCAGAGGCACCCTTCTCCCCCACCCTGCACCCAGTTTCCATTTAGTTGGGAAATAATCATGCTCCTTTGTATCTAGTGCTATTTCTGCCAAATCTATTCCGCCTGGAGGGGGTGGGCATAGGAATTACAAATATCAAGAGCAATCTCTCCCCACAGCAAAACATATATAGAGAAGGAAAAGAATAAACACAGGAAAGGGGGGCTCCAGAGCCTCTGAGGAGAATGGAGAGTAACTGATTTTCCCGGTGGGGTGGAAGGATGAGGGCAATTTGGGCATGAATATGAATCTTTAGTCAAATAGGAAAGCGGCGGGGTGTGAGGAACAGAAGCAAAATGTTCATTGAAATTCACGTAGCAAAGCAAACCCACACACAAAGG